AAGCGCGCAAGCCTCACAGGCCCATAGTCGCGTCTCTCCCCAGTCTCACTCTTTGACCGCTTCCCCCTTCTTGTCCAACACAAAAATACTTGGAAGCTTTGATGAAGCAGAGCATATAATTGCAGACTGTGTACCTTCACACCATTGTACGCATTGTTTACAAGGATATCCAGGCGTCCATTTTGTTCTTTGCTAACTTTATCAAACAACTTTTGGACTTCTTCATCATTTCCATGGTCACATTGAACAGGTATGCACTGTCCTGCACAGCTCTCCTCTCCTATCTATTTAATATATAGTAAATACTATTAATTTATTAGATTTGTTACCATAATTCTAAAAAGCTATTTTCTCTCTCCAGATAGGGAACAGCATTAATTATAATACTCCAATAAATTATAAGCTTAACTATATGTGACAAAAGCCTTTTATACGGTATAATGCAATATTATCTGACCTCCTCTGCGGTTTGCCGTAATGACCCTGGAGGTTTTCCTTCTGTGGCATCAAGTGTCCTGCCTGTAACCAAATATAAGTTAAAGTAAATTTATCAGTTAAGAGGATTGAGGAAGTAGAATACTAAACAAAAATGTGCCTAAAATAGTAAACCATAAGACGATTTTCTGATAGCCAAACTGACCTGTAATATACACAGTGGCTCCTGCCTTGGCCAATATCAAGGCAATACCTTTACCAATACCCCGAGATGCTCCTGTCACAATGCACACTTTTCCAGACAACGAAGGGAGTTCTGATGTCATGTTGCAACTTGGTGATCTATTACATAACAATGGAAGATTATTACTAAATAAGGTTTACCCTGAATACAACAGGATAAAGCTGCCACTATTAAGGCTAATTATCATTACAAGTAAAGGAATCAAGGCTTTACAACAACTAGCAGTTAAACCGACTCAAGACGTTTGGCTACTACATTTATGAAAGTTCAAGCTTATAATTAACCCACACTATTTGCTCATCTAATATTACTTCCGACAGATGATTTTTTTCTTTTTCTTGCCCCCCCTCCCCAACTCCCTCTTCTGGGGAATGCAGTATAGCTTCTGACTTTCCTTTAGCCTTTAATACCCCTTTCTTGTCATTAAACCTCCCTTACTGGTAATTAATTTCGCTAGTACTGAATTTCGCCATTTTTGGCTAGACAAAGGTATTAATCGGGACACAGCTTCATCACAAGGCCGTTTTTTTTAATTTTGTCATATGGACGCCCTTCAAAAACGAATTGTTTTGGTAACTAATATCATCTTCTCGCGTGATGTCCCCGGTCATATTTATTCCACCTTTGTATCTTTAGCTTCGTCTAAAATACACCGTCCATGCATTCATGAAATGCATGAATCAACCTTTGATCATTCGCTAATTAATGACAGTTTTACAGGTCAGAAATCTCGGGGTGAAACAATTTTTGGCAAAAATAAGGAGAGCATCTATGGATCTGTAGAACCAAAAAATCCTCACTGGATATAACTAAACAGCCGAAGGTCGGGAGCTGTCTTGAAATACAACCACTAGTGTAGCTTTAGGAACAGTTGATTTCCGGCGAAATCACTAACTTTATTTACGGAGACCGTTGCGCGATGCTGATCGATCATAAAAAAAGAAAAAGTACGCTTAAGCCTATTTTGAATTCTGAGCTTTTAAAGTAAACGCTGTTTTCAAGACGGGTAATTTTGCTTTTTACTCAATCATGTATACTCAGTAACGCTCGTAAGAAGCTAGAAAAGGAAAAGTATGGACTTACCTCGACTCTCTTCAAAAATTACGTCTTTTTTCTCCGAAGACGAGAAACAAAAACAGCAAAACACGGCAAAGTCCACTTTACATAGGCTTGCATGTACGTAGGACGTGACATTGCAAGTCTGACAACACAAGGACAAAATCATTTTTCATGTGCGACCCCTGTAACCCGAGCNTCCATGCATGCATGAAATGCATGAATCAACCTATGATCATTCGCAAATGAATGTCAGTTTTACAGGTCAGAAATCTCGGGGTGAAACAATTTTTGGCGAACATAAGGAGAGCAGCTATAGATCTGTAGAACCAAAAAATCCTCGCTGGATATAACTAAACAGCCGAAGGTCGGGAGCGGTCTTGAAATACGACCTCTAGTGTAGCTTTAGGAACAGTCGATTTCCGGCGAAATCACTAACTTTATTTTCGGAGATCGTTGCGCGATGCTGATCGATCATAGGAAAAAATAAAAAGTACACTTAAGCCTATTTTGAATTCTGAGCTTTTAAAGTAAACGCTGTTTTCAAGACGGGTAATTTTGCTTTTTACTCAAATATCATGTATACTCAGTAACGCTCGTAAGAAGCTAGAAAAGGAAAAGTATAGACTTACCTCGACTCTCTTCAAAAATTACGTCTTTTTTCTCCGAAGACGAGAAACAAAAACAGCAAAACACGGCAAAGTCCACTTTACATAGGCTTGCATGTACGTAGGACGTGACATTGCAAGTCTGACAACACAAGGACAAAATCATTTTTCATGTGCGACCCCTGTAACCCGAGCCGCAATCCTCTAAAGTATTTGATTCACCTTTCGTGATATTTTCTGGGGTAGATTGAAAAAAGATAAAGTCCAAAAACCCAATCAGCGGCCGGCTGATACGGTAAAAAATTTCGGTCCATTTTACAAAAAAAATTACCGGTAGTAGTTAGTCTACAAATTTTACGCACTTTAATCGTGGTCAAATTTATCGCACTTTCTGGAAATATTTGCGACAACAACGATGGGAAGAAATTGGAGGTGTTCCTACACACATGAAAAGAGATCTATTGACAAATGTGCATTACAAATAATGAGGAAATAAGGAGACTTTCAGTGACCGTTTTTTCGATTTCTCTTAGGACGACAGTAGTACGCAGGAAAAATTGACAACAATGGTTATGCAATTTTCTATTGGGGGAGGTGGGGGGGAGGGGGGGAGAGAGAAGCGGTAGGCTCGATTTCCACCGTCTCCCGGGTCCGGTCTTTGATCCTCCCCGAATAGACCTTCGGGGGGGATGAGTGCGGGCTCATTTTCCCGAACAGCGGCTGGTAATCGAGCATAGCGGAGCGGGGAAGGTGGCGTAATCAAGGTGTATTATGGTCTATGCGAAAATGGTGAATACGATCTGAAAAGTAAAGAAATAGCCTAAGCACATTAAAGGTAGAAAATAGCGAAACTCAGGGGTTAGCAGTCTCTTACCAGCCAGTCAGGCGGCTACAATGCCCGCACATAGGTTTTGGAATATTACCATTCTGTCGTCGACTTTTCATGAATTCAGACAGACAAACCTAGATTCATTTAAACATTTCGTGGTCCTAGCCAAAGTTGGACAGTGTTGGGTCCACTGGATAAACCGCTATCCATCGGATAAGTAAAATCAGTCGCCTTATCTACTGGATATTTCCAATCTCTTGTGCGGCGTCTTCCAAAAGCACAGTTTTGGTGAAGTATCCGAGACGAAAGGCTAACTCGCTCGGACCACGTGACCCGAAACGCTAAATCCGCGTGGAATAATGAGCCCTAAGGACTAGGCAACAGATAGCATTAACACAAACATAAGTAGAAGCAGACATTGCACGTGTAAACCGGGGTGTCATAGGAAGAAGAGCCTTGTACGTTTCCTTTACTCTATGGTCAAACAAGGAAGTGACTTTGTGATTTGGGTGGGAGCGTTTTGACAAGAAAAAATAATCTGGATTTATGGTAATGATATGTGAGTTCCACTCGACAGATCATGCATGTTTCTGTCTGACGGGTTCCACAACGAGAATACAGAACCATTGTAAAGTCAGTAAAGTAAGTCCTTTTTTTAAACGTTTAATTGGTAAATTTATAAGTACTAAGAATTCTCGCTCAATACATCTCGTCATTTTTCATTACGTTCCCCATACACTCCATATCAAAGAAAAAAGATGTTGGAAAATTGTTGTTGTTGTTTTTTTAATTTACGATAAAAATTTTTTCAAATGTCTTGTATACCGGCCATTTTCCACGAAGTACAATTCACGAATGACGAATTTCAAAGCTACAAAAATATTCATTCTCATCGACCCGCTGAGAATGCCGGAACAAAAAGAAAAAAAAGAAGGAAAAGAATAAATTCTCAAGCACGAAATGAGCTAGGGCAGTCTAGAGAGAAGGTGGCTAACGAAGGAGACAATATCTCCCCTCCCTCCTCAGACAACACGCTAAGCTGGCTGCGCACGGCGATATTTTACCGTACACTATATCCTCCAAGAGGGTATAAACGTTAATAACAAAACAGCAAAGACAAAAGCGACTCGAGGTTTACCGATATTTCGAACGGACAAGAAGTCCTTCTTTCAACGGGATTTGTTTACTAGCTAGAAAAGAGGTCATGGTTTGTTGGTACTATAGATATGTAAAATTTTACTGTCTTTCTCTAGTCTTTATCTGTTAGTTAGTTACCTGGTTTTTTCCCGGTTACTCCGGCTACGAGCAAAATCATTTTTTTTGTAGTTCCAGTTTGTAAGGAGCAACAAGAATACCAAAACAAAGAAACAAACAAAAAAAATATTCACGATTTAAAATGCGAACAATCAGGAAATAACTCTATGAAATGCATTCTGACATCAACATGTCCTTAAAACTTATGACTGGCTACTGCCAGCAACCAGCGCGGAACATAAACAAACTCGGGGATCATCCACGACACGGAAGGATATCGAAGCGAGAGGAGTTTCTTGACTTGCCGAAATGACAATGGCTGGGCTCCTAGGGAAATAAACGGGCATTAATTAATACGTCTGATGGGGTTAGAACTACGGACTTTCTAAGTTTAACCCTTGTGAGAACGAAAAGAAATTCAGTTCTTTTTTCGTACGATAGGGTGAATTCTTGAAATACGCTTCCAAGGTCGATAAGATCCATTAACAACCCGGCGCAGTTTAAAACTGCTTTCGCCAACTTCTTATGGCATTAAATACCAAATTATAAAGAAGAAAACGGGTCTCTTATCGTTCTAATTTTAAAACAAACGAACAAACAATTCATCTCTGTTTTACATGATTTAGAGCCATCAGTGTCAGCGAAAACGCCACTTAGCAGTTACTTTCACGTTAAGCTTAATATAACAGTTCAGGTTGGTCCTTCGAAACCGGGTACCTAGATGGTATCGAGGTATCGACCTAAAGGACACCCTCCTTCTCGCAATCAATAACTGTAAGCCGGCTATGCTAACCCGTAAGAGTAACTGTAAAGGGATCCATATATGGCAAGGCGCCTGCCTTGCCATATATGGATCAAAACAACAACAACAAAGACAAAGACAAACCTCCAAAGTCTTTAAAGCCGTATTCACGCGCCAACTCAGCTGTTACCAGAATGCGACCACTTTTGTTCATCATGCTTGGATCTAACATTATAGAAATAAGGACAGAGACTGTTAAACTAAGCGCGTATTGGGCTAGACCTGCCTCCTCCTCAGGCGCGTCCTTTTTCGCACTTTGGTCCGGAACAAAGGCCAGCGCGAAACTCGAGGGATTGGTAACGAGGCGCGAGGGACCCAAGAAAGGAGAAAAAGGAGAGGCGAAGCGCCTGCCAAATCTTGTCTTTTTCTTCTTCCCGCCTTTGTTTGTGCGCAAATTTACATCGAGAGAGAGACGTCTGAAACCGTGTCTTGGCTAGACCAAACTATCTGGGACGAGCTGTTCCAAGGGCGATTCAATAGCACAAACAGAATTATTCAAATTGTTTATGTGGTGAACTCAAATTCCCCAGCTAATTCTTTTATAGTCAGCTTGCGTTGACTAAATTTGAAAGACGTTTGCGATATCCAGTAAAATGACGTCAATAGTACAGAATATCGACACAAAAATGGACGGCAACAGAGAAGCCCTGGGGACGAGGGTGCATTAGCTCAGCTGTTTTGGTAGAGCTGGAGAACATGACGGAAAATTTCACACGTTTTGGAAGGACAAAAATTGCCGAACTTCTACCTAACCTTCTCGATCGCCAGAATTCATCAGATCATACTCAGCCCCAACAAATAATTGCTATTATACGCTCTGTTTACAGGTCGCCCAGGATTATAATGATGATAATAATAATTTAATATTTATATTGCGCAAAATACATGTAAATATGATCAAATGCGCATTACATGAAAGTAAATTATCGACATTAATAAGTTATCCAAAATAACTAAAAATATTATATAAAAAAAACAATGGATCTATAAAAATATAGATAATATTATGTATCATAGCATTTTACGTTGATTGATTGATCAGGGGTATTGACTGTACTAATACCTGCAGCCAACCAAGCCACGGCCTTGCCTGAAAATGTTGGATCCTCAGCATCTTTGAAAAGTGCAGCCGCCTTTCTTGACTGCAAAGTAAAAAAACACACAGTTTAGTTTTGTTTATTTTTATGAACGAATTTTTTTAATAAATTCGAGTTTCACTTATTCAAACCGAATAAATCGAAGATCTAAACTAAGATTTACACAAACTCATTAAACATCATTTCTTTTTATGACTGTGAAAGGTTTGAACCCAAGAGTCATTTCATAAGTAGGACGTAGAACGTAGTCCTGAATAGGACTGTCGTTGACAGTGACTGACGTTTCGACGACCTGTACGGTAGTCATCTTCTGAGTCAAAGTGAGTTGTATCACGTCAGTTGATGGTATTAATCTCTGGTTATTGACTTGATTGGTTAATTAAGTCGCGATGTTATTGGTTGTCTGGTTGTTATGCCGTGATGTTATTGGCTACAAAGACTTTTTATGCTTTTTATGCTGTCTTGATGAATTACCAACGCCGGGCACTCTCGGTGATGTCCGCTTAATACAGGAGTCCTCTTAAGTCATGCAGCCTTCGCTTAATTTTTTATCTTATTATTTACACCAAGTGCACCAAAATAACTCAGGACAACCAAAAAGGTTCTGCAATCCACATTTGAGAAGGAAAACTACTCATTCAGCGAAAAATTGTGTCGAGAAATCTTGGTTTGCAAACGCAATAGCGTGTGTACTTGACGACACCTTCATCCTTCATCCCCATTCAACCTGTCAGTAAACAAAATATTTGTCTTCCTTGGATTCATAAAACCATAACATGTAAAGGAACAACAGAGAACAACAACATATAAAAAAGTCCCCTAAATTTCAACCCCTCTTCGACAACTTGACAGGAGGGAACAGGCACTGAAAGTACGGGGTGGGAAGAAGGATTTTGTGGTTTTAACCCATACGACCGCTACAACAGCCATGAGCCCTGGCTGGGTCACTACGAAACGTCTGGTAAACGGACCCTGGTGAGGATGCGATAAGTCAAGGAAGCCGGTAGTCGATTTCACATTTTTCAGTAAAATAGTGGGAGTAAGAAGTGGACGGCCTTTCAAGTAAGTGAGGAGTTCAAGTAGTCCAACGCGATCGATAGCGGGCGCTAAAAAACTTAAATTTCAAACTTACAATTTTGCGCCAATGAAAGAAACTCTTTGGCACCCTCTATTTGTTTTTTGATGTTGTTGTTTCTTTAGCTGAGCGTTTTGTACCGTAGTAAACACTTCGGTGGTTTTAATTAGTGCTTCTTGAATCAAGTCTGATCATTACCCTCTCATCTTGTGGATTACTTAAAAAGTCTTTGACATTTTCAGTCATCACAGCTCCAGGCCAAAGCGACACACTGGCAACATTCTCTTTCCTCAGCTCCACAGCCATGTCCGCGGCCATTCGATCATTCTAAGAAAAACAGGAATGCAAGTATAGTTTTCAATACAGTCAAGGTGATCTCAAAAACATGCCCCTTTAAATAGAAGGTAGTAGTCAATGAATGTCCACTGAGATTTTGAAAAAGACAAAAGGCCGAGAAACGTCTTTAGCTTTAAGGAGAAAGTTCTAGGAATTTGGAAATTTTAAGAACTTCGAAGACAGCGCCTACTGATACACGTTTGCAGTCGAAACTCCATGTGCGATAACCTTTCGTCATAAGCAACCACGTCTTATAAGCGACCTCTGTCTAAAATACTAAAATTTTTCCAGTCAAAGTCTTATTATAAGAACTCTCGTTTCTGGTCTGATAGTTTTACAGTTTTCCAAATTGTTTTTAACCCCTTGTAAGCGAACACTTGACGTATGGTGTGGTCTCTCGATCTTTGTTCGCTGTATACACTAGTACGCCATTCAGCGTATATACGAAGAACTTTCAAAGACAACATGGAACTGCACGGACACATAATTTAGAAGTTGCAGGGAATGAATTTTCTGGCAAAAAATAGGTGTGTTGAAGCTTTTTCTCGAACAAGACCCACTGTGGTTCGAATTTCGTATGAGTGGGCGCTTATGGCATTATGGGGAGTTCGTCTGTGTATTTTACGAGGTTTAAGAACACTGTCTAAGAAGGCAGGCTTTTGTGATGGTCATCACTAAGCGTCTTCAGCAACGAGTGGTCACCAAAGCACAAATTAAAATTCTGTAGAACATGATTCAATATGAAAATGGAAATATCCCCAATCATTAAGAAATGGTTAATGTGTAGCGTGCAACCATCGAGTTATGAATGTACGCGAGAGGTTGCCAAGCACGAAAAAAAAAGTAAAAGTTACATCGAGAGCATTCTTAGCTTCTTGAGTGCTTAGCAAACCTCCCAAGTGCATCCATAACTCGATGGTTGCACAGCTGCAATGTTTACCATTTCTTTTGTAACGGTACTGTAAACGAGTTGATGTGTGCGGTCATCTGCCTGCGCGTAAACAAATCATGCCTTTCAACAACTTGCCTTTGAGTTTCTCTTTCGCTGAATCAACCGTTCTCCGTTTTAAGGTAAATTCTGAATGGTGTCTGTCTACTTGTTAATGTTAGAGTAAATACTTTGAGGGAAAACTATAGCTGCAACTGTAAACACAACCTCAAAAACCATGCCACGTAAAAAGATAATTGTGTGACAATTTATGAAATAAACGTAAAGTAGAAATAAGAAAAATTGACTGTATTTCCTTTAGAATAACAGGCAACACTAATTTTAAAAAGAAATTGATCTGACTAGCTTCGTATCGAAATTTTTCAGGAGAAATCGATCTGGAAGTCAAAATTGCAAAAATTCGCTGACACAGCCGGCGCTGATGCGATGAGTAAGCAATTTAGGTGCTGTTGTCTTACGACCATTCTGCTATTTCAAAACATAATTTTCTCTAGCATAAAAACACACAAAATGTACCTTAAATTTCGGGCTTAAATTCTTCAAAAACTTCGCTCGCTCGGTTGTTCATCTGAACTCCCAGCCTCGAAGAAAACAATCACTGATGAATTTCCCCAAGGTACATTTGTCGCTTGATCTTTTCACTTTCCTTCAAAACGACAACTGAGAATTTTCCTCAACTTTAACTTTTCATTTGTGCATTTTAAACCGCACAGGAGAGGAGATTTCTCGCTAGCTTTTCTTGGCGTGCACCAACAGGCAAGTGGTAGATGGCTACCTGACCAATCAGAGCGTGCGCTTTACTTTTGTTCTGTTATAAAATGTGATATACTCACTTAACCATACTTGCCTGTATTTTAGGACACAAGTGTGTTAAAACCAGACTATCTTCCCCCTCAATATTTCCGACCCGCATCGGAAAAGCCGTGAGTCAAAAAGTCAACCTCGTTCCCAGGGCCTCTCTCATTTGTCGTTAAGCAGACAAGAAGGGCAGAGGAGACGAGGTTGTTAAAAGTTAACTTAGAGAAACTTAAGGGTTATTCCAACTAGCTAATTATAGAGCGGTTTTCATTTGAGTGTCGAAAAGTAATTGGTTTTGCACTTTCTACACGATGCGATTGGCTTAAAAGATTCGCGCCACCTTTTCATCCAATCAGAAGTAAAACCAAAGCCAGTTGTGACGCGCTCGCATGCATTTTCCCGCGCTTTGCGTCAGCCACATGTAATTACTTCGAGTTTTGATTGGTTCAATGTATTGTCTGTGTCCTATGTGATTGGCCAGAGTAATTACTTTGGTTTTGGTTTTACGACACTCAAACGAAAACCACTCTAAAGAAAGAGCATAAACTTTTTAGTGACTGTTCTACAACTCAGTGGAGACGCAAGTGTCGTTATGTTAAGCCAACGACATTTCGTGAATGCTTACACACATAACCACACGAAAAAAAAAACACATACACGCACTTCTATTTCATTTTGAAGTCTATAGTAAGTTGCACGTACTGCAGCTTTTCCAATGCCATATGCAACATTAAAGAGATATGTCAATCCTCCTATCGATGAAACGTTGATTATGAGTCCCTGTTTGGCTGGAACCATCATCCTAACTGCATGCCACGCGGCAATGTAATTAGACCTGGAGGGAGAAAAGGGACACAAAGGACGCCAGTGATAGAGAACATTCAGCAAAAAACTAACCGGTGTTAAATCGTCTTCAACATTTATTAACCGTGATACACCAAGCTGAGCACTTGGAGATGAAAGAGTTAATTACAAAAGATGTAAAGAATGTTGAAACAAAAACGAAAGATTAGTTAAAGTCTACCAGCTACTATGAGTCTGACATCCACCCCGTAAGTATCAGTGCAATAAAGATCTCTTCTCCGTTAGAAGAGAAAGCAAGTTTACACCGATACTTTTGATATTACGAAGACCGAAAAGACTCTTTCTTGTTTTCCTTTATGAAATACCAATATTCATCGGTCTTAAGCATTTAATGTTTCAGACTGACTGCAACGTTTCGATGATGTTAGAGAAAAAAAAACAGTCATTTATAAACTCAGAAAATATACAGCCTTTTGACTTATGTGGTCAGCAACTATGTAAATTTTTTGGAACAGAAGAAAAATTTTACATGAGAAAAAGTTCAACTCCCACAGGAGTGGTTTGGGACACCGATATGGCCGCCGGGACGTCGTGTGAAAACGCTCTTTACAATCACTGCTACAGCCTGTTCCTTCTCTACATACCGACATGACATGTAGCAATTTTCTTACCTAAGCCCTACATTGTTAACCTCCTCCCACACGTTTAAAGGCTAAAAGACAAAAACAAGTACGCTATGTTAACTTTGACCAAACAATGGCAATAAAAAGAAATTTAAAGAAACAGGAGTGTAGTCAGAAATAAAATTAGTTTGTGTGTGTAGAAGCGGAGGCTCACGGCTCAGGGAGGGTCATCCTCTCCTACCCCGAACACCGTCGCCTCCTCCTTAAAATTTACGTTCTCAGTCGAGAAAATTGACCTTTTTAGATTGTATGTTTTGTTTTCCCAATTCACACCACGTGATGTTCCCAAGGAAATTTCACAAATTATGCATACATGTGCACGTGCATAGGACGACAATTGAAAGAGAAGAGTTCCCTGGGGCACCATCACGTGATCTTAAATGGGAAAACAAGACATACAACCTGAAAACATCTATTGATTGTTTAAAGATTGATTATCCCTGACAGATTCTTTCTTTTAGTAACCAATATACAAGCTGTGCTACTGTCTACCTCCCTCTGAATGCACTCATGAGAAGGAAAGAAAACAGCTCACGAAAAGAAACAAATTTAAGGGGAGAATCAAAATGCACGCAAATATCGCAGAGTACTTTACAATGGTCAGTCTTATTGAACAGGATCTCTCGGGATCCGAGATTTCACCGAAATATAATGCGGGATTAGGGAAAACGCCAAATGTCTTGACGGGATACGGGATTTCAGGACCACTAGTCGGAAAGAGGGATGCGCTAAAATCTTGGCACGGGATGCGAAACTGAGAAGGAAAACGAGTTTTCGGGATAGAGATGACAGAAGTTCGGGATGCAAGATCTTGAATAGAGAAGCGGGGTTGCCTGATCAGAACCCTCTTCCAGACATTGATTGAACAACTACAGGAAAAATACCAGTAGGACTATGAATTAAAACTTATAACCGGAAATTTTGATGACTACCTAATATTTGATTGGAAAATATTACAACCGAAGCATTGACTTTGGACACTAAGGATCTATCATGGCTCACACTACCTTTCTATCAACAAAGAGCAAGAAAGCATCTGTTCAAATTATAAAACGTGTATGATGATTCAGATTTTTATATAACAACATACTATTTGAGAGAGCAGAATTTTTCAACATCAAAATATAAATTGAGGATCTTACCTGTTCATAAAATGGTTTTTCAGCATTTTCCGATATTGCCTGGACCATAACAAAATTTAAAACGTTAAAATTAACGTTACATGTATATAGACCAGAGTTTGAGTAAACTACACCACTAACAAAAATGAATGTTTGTGATTGTTTATTCCTCATACCATTTGAAGTTATCTTCAAAACAAGTTTGGTTGTACTTTATTCGCAGAACTACGCGGCCGGGAAACGCTGGTACAATGTGTACTACCAAGAATCTTCAGATTGTGTTGAATCCCCCCCCCCAAATTCCCACTAAAATAAAGCCACCCCCTAGCCTACGCCACAGACGAAACTAAGTCCGTCTGCGAAACAGCGCCGAAACCCTTGTTCTCGGCCCCCACCTGTGTACCTGGATTTGAGTACGCGCCATGTCATTGGCCTGTTAAAAAACCATTGTCGACTAGCCAGTCAGGATGAAAGGAAATTCGAAACCCATTTCCGGTGATTGGCTGAGTCCGTTTGGGGCCCAGAACAAGGATTTCGGCGCTACTTCGCAGACGTTACCTACCGAGGTTAAATTAAGTCTGCGACGCAGGCTAGCCACCCTCCTCCCCCATCACCCCCCCAAAATAAATAATAATAATCCTTAATAACTTTTCAGACACAAAAAAAATCCCAAATCGAAAATTTCAAACCCCAAAATATCCTTCGATGATCCCCGTACTTTAAAAATCCAAAGTATCCCACGGGAATGCCGGTTAAGAGCGCCTTGACTGTACCTTTCGGCCATCCACATGCAGCCTATAAACAAAGCTACATCTGTTTTCCAGGGCTGAAACTTTAACTACTATAGCTACTGCTGCTTACACATCCTACCTTCCATCCTGTGCAAGCATTGTTGACAAGTACATCCAATCGTCCATTTTGTTCTTTGCTAACTTTATCAAACACTTTTTGGACTTCATCGTCATTTCCATGGTCACATTGTACAGGTATGCACTGTCCTGAACAGCTGTCTTGTCCTACCTAAAACATAAATGACAACAAAAGGGACCTTAAGCAACGAGAGCGTTGGCAGTTGATATTTTCTCTCTTTCAGTGCTCTGAAAAAGCCGTGAGTCAAAAAGTCAACCTCGTTCCCAGGGCCTCTCTCATTTGTCGTTAAGCAGACAAGAAGGGCAGAGGAGACGAGGTTGTTAAAAGTTAACTTAGAGAAACGTAAGGGTTATTCCAACTAGCTAATTATAAAGAAAGAACATAAACGTTTTAGTGACTGTTCTACAACTCAGTGGAGACGCAAGTGTCGTTATGTTAAGCCAACGACATTTCGAGAATGCCTACACGCATAACCACACGAAAAAAAAAACACACACACACTTCTATTTCATTTTGAAGTCTATAGTAAGTTGCACGTACTGCAGCTTTTCCAATGCCATATGCAACGTTAAAGAGGTATGTCAATCCTCCTATCGATGAAACGTTGATTATGAGTCCCTGTTTGGCTGGAACCATCATCCTAGCTGCATGCCACGCAGCAATGTAATTAGACCTGGAGGGAGAAAAGGGACACAAAGGACGCCAGTGATAGAGAACATTCAGCAAAAAACTAACCGTTGTTAAATGGTCTTCAACATTTATTAACCGTGATACACCAAGCTGAGCACTTGGAGATGAAAGAGTTAATTACAAAAGATGTAAAGAATGTTGAAACAAAAACGAAAGATTAGTTAAAGTCTACCAGCTGCTATGAGTCTGACATCCATCCCGTGAGTATCAGTGCAGTAAAGATCTCTTCTCCGTTAGAAAAGAAAGCAAGTTTACACCGATACTTTTGATATTACGAAGACCGAAAAGACTCTTTCTTGTTTTCCTTTATGAAATACCAATATTCATCGGTCTTAAGCATTCAATGTTTCAGACTGACTGCAACGTTTCAATGATGTTAGAGAAAAAAAACGGTCATTTATAAACTCAGAAAATATACAGCCTTTTGACTTATGTGGTCAGCAACTATGTAAATTTTTTGGAACAGGAGAAAAATTTTACATGAGAAAAAGTTCAACTCCCACAGGAGTGGTTTGGGACACCGATATGGCCGCCGGGACGTCGTGTGAAAACGCTCTATACAATCACTGCTACAGCCTGTTCCTTCTCTACATACCGACATAACATGTAGCAATTTTCTTACCTAAGCCCTACATTGTTAACCTCCTCCCACACGTTTAAAGGCTAAAAGACAAAAACAAGTACGCTATGTTAACTTTGACCAAACAATGACAATAAAAAGAAATTTAAAGAAACAGGAGTGTAGTCAGAAATAAAATTAGTTTGTGTGTGTAGAGGCGGAGGCTCACGGCTCAGGGAGGGTCATTCTCTCCTACCTCGAACACCGTCGCCTCCTCCTTAAAATGTACGTTCTCAGTCGAGAAAATAGACCTTTTTAGCTTGTATGTTTTGTTTTCCCAATTCACACCACGTGATGTTCCCAAGGAAATTTCACAAATTATGCATACATGTGCACGTGCATAGGACGACAATTGAAAGAGAAGAGTTCCCTGGGGCACCATCACGTGATCTAAAATGGGCAAACAAGACATACAACCTGAAAACATCTATTGATTGTTTAAAGATTGATTATCCCTGACAGATTCTTTCTTTTAGTAACCAATATACAAGCTGTGCTACTGTCTACCTCCCTCTGAATGCACTCATGAGAAGGAAAGAAAACAGCTCACGAAAAGAAACAAATTTAAGGGGAGAATCAAAATGCACGCAAATATCGCAGAGTACTTTACAATGGTCAGTCTTATTGAACAGGATCTCTCGGGATCCGAGATTTCACCGAAATATAATGCGGGATTAGGGAAAACGCCAAATGTCTTGACGGGATACGGGATTTCAGGACCACTAGTCGGAAAGAGGGATGCGCTAAAATCTTGGCACGGGATGCGAAACTGAGAAGGAAAACGAGTTTTCGGGATAGAGATGACAGAAGTTCGGGATGCAAGATCTTGAATAGAGAAGCGGGGTTGCCTGATCAGAACCCTCTTCCAGACATTGATTGAACAACTACAGGAAAAATACCAGTAGGACTATGAATTAAAACTTATAACCGGAAATTTTGATGACTACCTAATATTTGATTGGAAAATATTACAACCGAAGCATTGACTTTGGACACTAAGGATCTATCATGGCTCACACTACCTTTCTATCAACAAAGAGCAAGAAAGCATCTGTTCAAATTATAAAACGTGTATGATGATTCAGATTTTTATATAACAACATACTATTTGAGAGAGCAGAATTTTTCAACATCAAAATATAAATTGAGGATCTTACCTGTTCATAAAATGGTTTTTCAGCATTTTCCGATATTGCCTGGACCATAACAAAATTTAAAACGTTAAAATTAACGTTACATGTATATAGACCAGAGTTTGAGTAAACTACACCACTAACAAAAATGAATGTTTGTGATTGTTTATTCCTCATACCATTTGAAGATATCTTCAAAACAAGTTTGATTGTACTTTATTCGCAGAACTACGCGGCCGGGAAACGCTGGTACAATGTGTACTACCAAGAATCTTCACATTGTGTTAAATACCCCCCAAAATCCCCACTAAAATAAAGCCACCCCCTTAGCCTACGCCAAAGACGAAACTAAGTCCGTCTGCGAAACAGCGCCGAAATCCTTGTTCTCGGCCCCCACCTGTGTACCTGGATTTGAGTACGCGCCACGCCATTGGCCTGTTAAAAAACCATTGTCGACTGGCCAATCAGGATGAAAGGAAATTCGAAACCCATTTCCGGTGATTGGTACAGTCCGTTGGGGGCCCAGAACAAGGATTTCGGCGCTACTTCGCAGACGTTACCTACCGAGGTTAAATTAAGTCTGCGACGTAGGCTAGCCACCCTCCTCCCCCATTCCCCCCTCCCCAAAATAAATAATAATATAATAATCCTTGCTAAATTTTCCGACACAAAAAAATCCCAAATCGAAAATTTCAAACCCTAAAATATCCTTCGATGATCCCGTTACTTGAAATCCAAAGTATCCCATGGGAATGCCAGTTAAGAGCGCCTTGATTGTACCTTTCCCCCATCCACATGCAGCCTTTAAACAAATCTACATCTGTTTTCCAGGGCTGAAACTTTAACTACTGCAGCTACTGCTGCTTAAACATCCTACCTTCCATCCTGTGCAAGCATTGTTGACAAGTATATCTAATCGTCCATTTTATTCTTTGCTAACTTTATCAAACAACTTTTGGACTTCATCGTCATTTCCATGGTCACATTGTACAGGTATGCACTGTCCTGAACAGCTGTCTTGTCCTACCTAAAACATAAATGACAACAAAAGGGACCTTAAGCAACGAGAGCGTTGGCAGTTGATATTTTCTCTCTTTCAGTGCTCTGAATCGACAAATTCGTACAGCGGGAGCTAACACAAAGGCATTTAGATTCGTTGTGTGAGACAGAAGCGTTCCATCAAGCTTCATTTTTTTAGTTAGTATATATTTTTTGAATTTGTTTTGGAGTCACATACAAAAAGATTTTTTTCAGATTACAGACAGAACAAAATTAGGTGATTTTTAAAAATCCTCGTTACACACGTAGACCATACACCGCCAAAATTCACACCCTGTTTAAGGCTTCGGGTCTAAAAAGACACCCTGTTTAAGACGCTCAATAGTGAAATTATATACCCTGATTAATATTCAAGACCCTGAAAACCATACCCTGTTCAGCACATACCTGTATAGGCCAAATAAGGGAGTACCCCCCGGAAATAAACAAAATACCACTTGACGGAAGACACCTTACTGCTAATATACAGATTTAACCAGGGCTAAAAGCGAAGTTCCCATTAATAAATTTATAGCTCCCATTAATAAATTTATGATTAAAGTCAAACAATAAACTTGTAATCCACAAATCAGTTAACTTAAGGGCACATTCATGTGACTTTTAAGGGAAAGGCCAAGTGATTTTAAAGTGAAACATCTTGCATTGAGTTGATAGCCATTTATGTACACCCAAAAAATAACAATCATATTCGATCACATTCAAGAGCCATAATGGCTCTTGATCATAGTAGATTAGGCCTCAAAAACAAATTCTTGAAAAACAAATCAGGCCAGGTCAGGTGTTTGACAAGTTTACTTTACAAACTCTTGCCAACAAATCTGGGGTTGTGTAAACCAACCTTTTATACCTTTTATACATCACATCTGAGAAGAAGCAGTACTATTTGTCATACAGACCTCGGACAGAATACAGTATTTCACAATCTTTCAAGACAAATATTCAGGATAATCAATCGTGGGCTTAATTAGCGAAACCAGTTGAAAAATTTCCAAAATCACTTATACGGCCAGCCGGTTCTCACTTTTGACAAGCGCCAAATGTGCAGTGCGAGCTGTGCTCGAGTGTTTGAATGAACATTAATAGAGTTACGCTTTAACATAACAAAGAATTTATTATGTTTATTTTTTTATTCAATGGTTTTATAACGATGTGTAATCTTAAGAAGCGTTTGATACAGGTGGCATTTTGAGTACTCCTGCAACTGATGTTCATGAACGATTGAAAACAAACGGCACATCGATTAAAATTACAAGATCAGAGAGACTACTAACAATCAATAAAAGAAATATAATTCGGTGAAACATTTACAGAGACAACAATTTTCAGTTACGAAGACAAATATTATAGTGTCTCTTAAAATCCTGAGTCTTTAAGCTTAAAGCTGAAGTTTATGTTTTAAGCCGGCCTCCTGGTGCTTGCTTTTTTCAAAGATGAACTCCAGGCAAGAAAATCGCTCAAAGTTTTCTTTCTACAGCCAAATTTAAAACTAAATATTCTTCGGAACGTTTTCTTTCTATTTTCGGTGAGAAAATATATCTATCCCATGCAACAAAAATGTGTGATCACATGTGTGATTTTACGTGTGATCACATGTGTGAACACAAGTGTGATTTTTTATTAGAAGCGTGATTCACACTTTAAAATCACACTTTTTCACACTTCAAATCACACTTCTAAGAAGTGTGATAAGACGTGTGAACATGTGTGATTTAAAAGTGTGAATCGCACAGATTTTTACAACGTGTGATCACGTGTGATCACACTTATAAATGTGTGATTTTAGTAAAATCCCACATCTTTTTCACACTTTGTCACACTTCTTTCTTGGATTCAACAAAGTGTGATTTTAATACCTTTTAATTAAATGATTTTACATTAAATGTTTGAGTGTTATTAAAATGCAGGGGACACTGCTTGAGGATTGTGCTGCTAAATTTTACCAGAAATACAGCCACACAAATATTCAGAACTTTGGTTCAATTTATTTTTTTTATTAATCAATTTAACTGCTGTCATAGTAAAGTCTAACAAATGCTGTTTCCTCTGCCAATGTCAAAATGTAATGTTAGTTACAAAAGTTTGATAAACAACTCATCTGTTGCTGAAACTACTCTCAATACTCTGATCTACAAACTCTGAGCGGCTCGTCTCTGTAAGTCCATTTTTTTTGCTTTGCATTGGAAGTCCCGTATCTTCCATGCCTATAGCCACGGCACTTCCTGTAAATACTTTTTTCTAGCTTTCCTCACTCTTGATCCAGTGTTTCCTCTTTTTGTAGGGGGAACTGTGCAAATGCACAGCCTGAAATGGATTGGGAACTTGAATCAAAATTGTCTCAGAAACTGAAAATAAAATATTAAACCACTGCAGTACTATATAATATCTATACACAGCTAATTAAAGTGGGAAAAATTGTGATGCACTAACTATAATTTTTATGACAACAAAGTTCTGTCCTTTACATGTGCACCGCTACTTATTTACATTACAACAATCTTCAGTGTATACAATGTTTCTGGTCGCAGGTAGAAAATCTTAAAACCTGTGAACAGGGCATTTTTCACAGGGTCAGAAACTGTGAAAAACCCTGTGAAATGGAAGTTTGCCTGGCAGCTGCATGCATGTTGCTTTATCCCCCCCCCCCCAAAAAAAAAAAAAAA